GCCCTAGAAAAGAGGGGACAGCCTAATGTATGGCAAGTGTGCTCAGCCGCCTTCCATCACAGGTTACTCTCTGCTTTATAGGGTTACTCTCCCATGTATCTGAGAAAATGCAGACACCACTGAAGAGAACAGGACATTGAAGTCATGCCCATCCGTAATGAAAATGGCTAAGATTAGCTCTGATATGTTCGCAGCTGTTAAATCCAAAAGGCATCAAATCCAAGTTTAGGTTTACTCTGCCAGCTGTGGCAAAGATACACACTCCTCCTGTTAAATGGGGCCCTTAGCTCTGATTTTAGGCCCTTCTAATGCCTCCTGTGGTATCTGGATGGCTACGACTAAAACTGCATCCTTGGCCATGCTCTTCGGGAAGAACTGAACTGTACATCACTCGTGTTCTGCCCTTGAACTTCTGTTCACATATTTTAAAAGAGCTGGGTCTGTGTATTGGGTGGAAGGGTTAGTGTCCATTGGAAGAATGAGGCATTCAAGTGTCGACTGGCCAAAAAGAACTCTCCGGGAAATCCACCAAAAGAACGGTTTATTCGGGAAAAGTAAAGAAACCAAAACCACCACAGCAGTGTGGGAACGCACACCTCCAACAGGGGCACCAGCCTGTTGCTCACATGAAGAAGAATAGCCCCGGTTCCAAGGTGGCGATTCTATTTATTAGCATCCCTCCCCTGGAAGTTACCACAAAGTTTAACAGGAAGTCACGACTAGAGAGTTACCAAGGGGCCCAGCTCCACCCATAGTCCTCCCAGCTCTATGGTTAAGCATCTTAAGATGTCAGTTCACTTTTATCACAACCTCTGCGGTTGTATTGCAATGAAGGTTCTGGATAGAAACAGCCTGGTGGCTCCAACGTCTGGGGACTCCAATTCTAGCTTTGCTATGATTTGGACTTTGCCCCTAAACCCAGGACACAAACCTGTCTGGCTTCACACAACCTTCTGTAAACCAATGTGATAAGTATGGTCAACTCCCTAAGATTGTTGGAACGATTAACTACGAGAAGCAAATCCAGTTCTTTGCCATCACAAAACAAAACTTCTTATAGTAGATTAATGAACAGAAAATGCCCATTGTTTCTGATACTTTATTATGCCGTATCTTCCCTCACCAGAAAATGCATTGATAGGTGGTTTACTGCTGAGGTTCAACTATTCTTCTTTGGGATAAAATAAGCACACTCCAAGAGGCCAAGTGGCACTTGTGACAGAAGGAAAGAATATACAAGCTATTGTTCTGCAGCTTTAAACAGCCACCAAAACAGAACCCACGTGTTTGTGGTATATGCCCCTCCCCCACAAAAAGAAAAAAAAATGGTGGGGGGAGGGCCTCTTATCTTCATTCCACACAAGCATCCTATGTAAGAGCACAAACATGTGTGTCCACGGACACACACTGACACGCCTTCCACACCCATGCCCTCTGTCTAGCAACTGGGCATGCAGCTATACCTTGAGTTCTATTCCTGGTAATAAACCAAGACAAACTTGATTTCTCTTTCCTTTGATCACTCTCCCCACCCAGACTTTTCTGATTAAAAAAAAAAAAAAAAAAAAAAAAAAGGGGGGATACCAGGTGTACATACCTGACACAGAAGTATAAAACCACCGGTCCTGACTTTTTGGGGAAGTCATGTTCCAACACTCTTCGATCTAGTTGAAGCNTAATAATAATTCTGAGCCTAAATCTGTTGGGTCTGAAGCAACTTGATTTTCGAAGCAATGCCTTACTGTCTATATCACATTTTAAGTCGAGTATGAAGGAGTGAAGGCATTCTGTTTCTCCAGCCCTAATTTTCTCCTCAACAGTATATTATGGAGACATAACCAATTCCCCTTTCAACTCTCTAATAATGAAAAACTTAAATGCGATGGCAAACTCTACTTTTTTTTTTTTTGTTTGTCTTTTGTTTTTGTTTTTTGCAACAGCATTCATTTCCACCAAGTTCTGGGTTGCCTGGCTGTCCAAGAGGCAGGAAGGTAGAGGAAATAACACGCATATTCTGAAATGAAAAAAAAAATCACATCCTCTTGACAGAAACTGGAAAGCGGTTTCCTGTTAACCTTTATCACCAAGAAACAGCCTGGAAAACCCTAGGAGTTCTAGGCCTGTCATATTATTACCCTGTAACCTTGGCTATTTAACTTATTCTGAACCTTCCATCTGTGTTAGCGAACTGGCGAGTCAAAAAGGCCTAGAGAAAAACAGGCCTCAGATATCTCAGTTCACACACCGATGCCCAGAGTACCAGGGAGAAGAAACTTCTGTGGAAATGCTGATGGTTTGGGTTCAACGTCGAGATTTTCCTCTCCTTTTTTAAACCAGTGCAGTCATTTTTTATTTTCCTGAGAGCCTTGTCAGAGGTCCTCCTTTGTGGCAGCAGGTGGCGATGTTGCATTTCTTTAATTACTAGTGCGAGGCTGCCTCAAAGACCTGATTCACAAAGAAAATTTTGGGTCTGGGTAAACCCAAGGAAATGAATGATTTCTTGTAGATTCAGAGAGGGTTTGCATGGACAATTCCAAGACTGGTTCTGTTTTAACCATGGGTTTCTGGTGCTTTGACATCTGGGGCTGTGCTCACCCTGGAAGGACTGCCCTCCCAGCATGNGCCGGCTTCTGGACAGCCGCTCACTGTGGCTGCTGGCCACTCACGCTGGCTGCTGGCCACACACGGTAGCCCATGGCAACCCACTGCAGCAGGGGCTGCAGCCTACGCTGTCGCTGGCGATTCACAGCAGCCCAGTTCCAGGTCAAGCTGTTGTTCAGCATCTTAGCTTTAGAGGGCAGTGTCACTGGCCCTCATATGTGGGATCCAAACCGGAGCCCTCTGGAGTCCCAAGCCAGCTCTTAACCAACGCGCCACTCTGCCAGCCCGAATTGTACACTTTAATATTAGTGTAGTTTACTATATGTCAGTTGTACCTCATTAAAGCTATTTTAAACAGTGAACCACACAGATACATGATGATATACAAATGGAGTGACTTGTGTATTTCTTCCTTCCTTCCCTCCCTCCATCTCTTTTTTCTTTCATAAATGTCAACTGACCAACTTCTCTGAAAAAGAGTCTGGAGATGCAGCCCAGAGAAAAATAGACACAATTCCTTTTCCCCTCAAGCTTATATGCTTGTAAGGATACACTCAACCACTATTTCCACAAGTAATTACATAATTACTAAGACTATGAGGGGTCGTGAGTTATGAGAACATGTAAGGACCTGATCTAGATCAAGAAACACTGCCTGGTGTTTGAGTGAGATTTAAAGAATTATAAGAGTTAACTTGGCAAAGAGAAAGGGGAACTTTCCCACCAGGAGGGCCAGCCTGTGCAAAGGCCCTGAGGTGGAAAGAAACTTAGCACCTTAGTGTCATGTGAGTAGAACGGGATGAGGCTGGGGACCAGCTAAGGGGGCCCTGGAAGCCACGAGGAGGAGGCTGGTCTTTGAAGAGCAAGCAGAGCCACAGAACAAGTGTGAGCGGAGGAACCTACTCCTTTTTGCCCCTCTCCTCCCCTTACCCAATCTCAGTCCATCCTTCTGGAGGATGAGGCCTAGAATCACCATTACTTAGTAAACTCATGTCCAACAGACACACTGACTACACAAAAGCTCCCCAGGCGCCTGAAGCTGTGTGACACCGATGTTTATAATGCACATTCACATGGGGAAAGCTGGAGCCTATTCTGTGGAGAATGAGGAACAAAAGCTGTCTGCATCACTCTATTAAAATCTCTGCTCTTCCAAGCACATGCTTGCCCCTAAACAATGAAAGGAAACATGCTAGAGGCTTCCATCTCCATTGCAGCAAGACTTCCTTCAAGCTGCACCTTTTGCACAAGAAAAAAATCTCTTTCAAATAAACCCACACTTGTGGCCTAGGGATGATGTTTACCGTATTTGCCGGCGTATAAGACGACTNGTTAGTGGGAATATAAAATTGGCGTCGTCGCTATGGAAAGCACTATGGCAGTTTCTCAAAAAATGAAAAATAGAACTGCTATACAATCCAGCAATCCCACTTCTGGGTATACACTCAAGACAACTGAAAGCAGGAAATGTGTACAGATATTCATAAACCCATGTGTATACCGACATTATTCACAAGAGCCAAAATGTGGAAGCAACCCCAGTACCCACTGATGGATGAATGGATAAACAGGCTGTTGTATATCCATATAACTGAATATTATTCAGCCTTAAAACGGCAAGAAATTCTGACATAGGCTACAACATGGAGGAACCCTGAGGACATTATGCTAAGTGAAGTAAGCGAGTCACAAAAGGACAAACACTGTATGATTTCACTTATATGAGCTACCTACAGTAGACAAATTCTTAGTGACAGAAAGGAGAATAGTGGTTGCCAGAGGCTGCAGGGGGAAGAAGAATGTGTTAGTGTTTAATGGGTATAAAGTTTCCATTCTGTAAAATGAAAAACATCCTGAAGATGGAATGGTGATGATGTGAATGTACCACTGAACTGTACACTTATCAATGGTTGCAGTAGTAAATTTTATGTGTATGTTAGCACAATTAAAAAAAATTCGTCCTACCCAAAGTACCAAGAGCATCCCTTTGAGAGATACTGCTAGAATGTCTAAAAATCGTCAGATATATTGGAATTTGGTTCCAAGAAGTTCATCCATACTAGCGTTCATCCAAACTAGGGAACTACGTTGACTAGTGCGTTTGTCATACTTGTCTCACTCTCCTCTTTGTCTCAGTTGCCAGGTTAAGGAGACTCCCAAGATCAGGTTAAGGAAGATGTCAAGGAGCCAAAAACACAGCGATGGGGTCAGCAGGAGTCACGTGATTATACCAGTAGCTTTAGTTTCATGGAATTCTCATTTATTTATAGTAATTAATTTATAAATTCCTTCTGCTTATCAGTAAAATCACGTTAGGGGCCATGGCTTGGGATATCCCGCTTCAAATGATACTTTCAGATTTTGATGGGAAACTCTGAACAGGAGGAGAAAGTTCTTACCTTGTAGATACAGGACTTAGCATTCAGAAAGAAGAGCTCAATGGTGGCATTATCCTTTAGGTATGAGATGCTTTCTATGTAGAACCTGGAAGACAAAAACCGCAAATGAACCCCAGAAGCATCAACTGGTCAAGCACGTAATGAACCGTTCTCTGAGGTACAGGGTTTGACGGGACGACTAGCACTCCCGATGCTAAATAAACAAACAAAAAAAGGTATCATCAAGTTGTGTTCATAGAATTCATTTTGGGAAGAAAAACGGTGTTTTTCAAGTCCATTTATGGTGGGTGAGGATCATCATGCCTGACAGCCCTTACCATAGCAAAGAACTCGGCCTGCCATCAACTTCTTAGAGAGGACTTCAACTGGACCATCTACTTTCTTTTTCCTTAGCTGCTTTCCAGCTTTTTATGTTATTTGTNATGCAGCTATACCTTGAGTTCTATTCCTGGTAATAAACCAAGACAAACTTGATTTCTCTTTCCTTTGATCACTCTCCCCACCCAGACTTTTCTGAAAAAAAAAAAAAAAAAAAAAAAGCAAAAGGGTGAATACCAGGTGTACATACCTGACACAGAAGTATAAAACCACCGGTCCTGACTTTTTGGGGAAGTCATGTTCCAACACTCTTCGATCTAGTTGAAGCCAGTTTAAGTGTCCCCTGCAGAAAATGAAGACAAATTGGTCACGGCTTTGGATTTTGCAGATATTTCTTGTGACGAAGGTATATGTGTAGCAGAATGGGCTGGATCTCGCAGATAAACATGGACCTTTGCCTCACTATTAAGTTAACAATATTTGAAGAACCCAGAGGACTGATCTGGGGAACACTGCATGAGTGGGAGATACTGTGTGACACGAGGGAGGACAGTGACACTCAGAAAGGAGAATGACACTCAGAAAGTCAGGGGTTAGAGACTTGCTGTCCAGTTCCTAGACTGCACTGAAATGAAAATGTAATCATTCTCTCTCTCTCTTTCTCTCTGTTGGTAATTCCCTTTGCACCACACTCTGGCCTGCCTTTTTTTTTTTTTCCTGAAGGACTCAAAACACATTTTAGAAACATGTTAGCTATCTTCGCAACATCTTGCTGGAAGCCGATGGGTTGAAAAGCCAATCACAGACAGTGTCTTTAAAAAATTAAATTTCCATCTACCACATGACCCACCCATTCTTCTCTTAGGTATTTACCCAAGAGAAATAAAAGCATATGGCCATGCAAAGGCTTTTACAGACAGATGTTCGGAGGCATTATTTTTCACAGCTCAAAACTTGAAACAACCCAAATGTTTATCAACATGGGGAATATAGAAACAAATTATGATATAATTACATAACAGAATACTACATAGCAATAGACAATGAACTACTGATATCTAGAGCAACATAGATAGATCTCAAAATAATTACGCTGAGTGAAAGAAGTCAGTCAAAAAAGACTACAGATTATATAATTCCATTTATAGAAAACTCTAGAAAGTGCAAACTAATCTACAGTGACAGAAAGCAGACTGGTGGTTGCCTATGGGGGGAGGGGTGAGAGGGAGGGAATTACAGGGGGGCATGAAGAAAAATTTAGGGGAGTTATGGGTATGTTCATTATCTTGATGGTGGTCATGGTTTCATGGGTGTAGACATGTGTCAAAACTTATCAAATTGTACATTAAAAAAAATTTTTTTTTAAGACCTTATTGGGGAATCGGGGGATGGGAACAGTGCTGGGGAATTGAGGGAAGGGGAACAGACAAGTTGCTGTCCTTTTTTTGTTCTTCAGTCTAGTTGTGGAGGACATTGCTTTACTGGCCCA